AATGCTGATGGCTACCAGATCGCACTGGCAGATCGTTACATAGATTCCTGGAAACTGGTTTTCAAACTGCTCATTGAGGAGAACAGGCGCAAGGAGGCGTTAATTATAAGTGAACAATGTCGTGCAAAAGCACTAAAATTCCAACTTTTGTCCAAACATTTGGCGCAAAATTACAAAGACAATCAGAACGATGGGACTGAATACGCAGAAATCGAGTCATTTATACGAGATCAGAAATGTACTATTTTATATTTTGTTTGGTGTTTTGATGATTTATATCGTTTTTTACTCAAACCTACCGTGAGTGAAAATGGTGAACATTTTGTTCAACTAAAAATGTACTTTGACAGAAACTGCAGACAGAGCCTTGAACTTGACTTAGAAATACTTTTTGGAGAAATGAACGGATTCTTAAATCAAGACATAATCAAAAAATTCGGGAGAAATAAAATTGTAGGACCATCATCAGAAAATGAAGAATGTACCTGTAATACTGGAAATCACTTTAATTGCGAACAAAGTTTCACAAGCAGCATTCAAAGACTCTCGGAAATGCTCTTTGAATCAGTTATCGATGATATAAACGACACAGACAASATAGTCATCATTCCKGAAGGTTTATTGTATTTAATACCTTTTGCAGCTCTGATAAACCCAACGACGAAGCGCCATCTTTCTCAGGATAAACAGCTGTTATTCTCTCCKTCGATAGMCTCTCTGTTGATTCACCAGACCTTGCCTGATGATTACTATGCTCGCTCGGGATCCCTTATCATAGGAAATCCACTTGTCGACCAGATTGAGGGCTTGGAATCCTTGGCAGGATCCCAAAAGGAAGCAGAAACAATTGCCCGTATCATTAACGGTGTTATGCCATTAATTGGTCCAAGAGCAACTAAATCAGCTGTCCTGGAAAGGCTTTTTGAAGTCTGTATTGCTCATTTTGCATGCCACATCAAACTCGACCCATCCGCCATCGTCCTTTCTCCTGAAGGATCGCCTCAACATGTTGATGATGAATCCTATCTTCTCAAGCCGGAGGATATCATGGAAAAAGACATACATGCTCGCTTAGTGGTGTTAAGTGGATGTAACAGTGGACTTGGCAAGATCTGTGCCGAAGGAGTGGTCGGCATTGCACGTGCCTTCCTAGCTGCAGGAGCTTCAGCGGTGTTGGTTTCTCGGTGGAGCGTTGGTGACTACAGCACSTGCGAGTTCATGACGATCTTCTACACCTACTTTTTGGACTGGGATGTAAGAAGAAGCGCTAGTGAGAGCCTGCATCTCACAATCAATGACATGAGAGCAAAGTAYCCACACGAACCAATGAAATGGAGCGGTTTTTACCTCATGGGTGACGATGTCACAATTGACCGTGAAAGCCTCTCTGTGCTTCGAACAAAAAGAGAACCACCAGCCTCTCGTAGTCGTGAGCCATGTGAGTGCGACGAATAGGTGAATCAAAAATGAGTAAGATAATTAAGGTAGAGACTTGTTAAGATATACTTCTACATACTCTGTTACAGCTATTTCTGGGACTGGGATGTGTCGAAGTGCGCCAGCGGGAGCCTGAATCTCACAATAAATCACATGTGAAGAAAGTATCCAAAGCAACCAATGAACCAATGGAGTGGCTTTCATCTCATGGGTWATGACGTCACTATTAACAGTCAGAGACTCGTTGTACTTCGAACTCAAGAATATCTAGTACACGTGAGCTATGTGAATCCGACGCCTAATCCACACGTTCTTTGCGTTCACTGTCTTGGTGTTTTTCTTACTCCCTGCGGTGTCATTGTAATGTCCAATACTCGAAATACAGTTGATTTTAGGGACTTCACAAATAATAAATAAACAAATTCAC